GAGTCAGGCAAGAGTCCAGTCCACTTTCCCCCTAGTTAAGCTGGTCAGGATGATGATGAAGTCTCCTCCCGGTTATGTCAGGCTGTCTTTGAACTTTATCCAAACAGGAATCTCTAGATTAGAAAAGATGGGCTGCTGTAGAACAAACTTAAATCCATTTCAGGGGTTGCGCAGAGCAAGGGCACCCGGGGCTGAGGAACGTCTCTCAGAGGCCTTTCCCTGGATGCATTGATGCAGCCTGTCCCCTGACACAGGAATCAGTCGTGACAGGGGTTCTCCTGTCTAGGCGAGAATAGGATCTTGCTGGGGCCTCCAGATGAAGTCTCTTTTTGTCAATTAGTTGTATAAATTCTCCCAGTAAATTTTTTGTTGAAACTGGGTTAAGTTGTGGTCTTTGATTTCAGCTTTTCTTTTTGTTCCCTGTTTTGGACTAAATTATGCCCCCCCTCAGATTCATATGTTGCAGCACTAACTCCCAGGGTGACTGTATTTACAGAGAGGGCCTATCAGGAGGTAATGAAGTCATAGGGTGGGACCCTAATGAATTCTGGAATTGTTTTAAGAGGTTATTCTTAGAAGAAGAAAAGACACCAAAGATTTCCCCTGCACAAAAAGGCTATATGGGGGCCATCCACCAGCCAGGAAGAGAAGCCTCAAAGAAAGAGCTTCTCTTTATAAGATTGAAGATATTTGAGGTAATTTGTTTTTAATTTTGTTGTTGACATCTTACTTGTCTGTAGTGGTTAAAAGTCCTATACTCAGTTTTTAATTTGGAAAAGAAAATTGGGTAGGGGAAAGCTAAATGTACAATTTTAAATGGAAATTGTATATAAAACAGACTTAGAAGGTAGCAGATAATGAGTATTATACCATCCCCACATTATTAGTTATACATCCAAATTTTGTACATGATGGTACTATGTTAGGATATTGTATTTTTGGGTAAGATCTCTGAGAATAAACTAAATCTAAAAAAGTTGAATCCAAAAATTTTAAGTTCTGCAGTTATATTAATATTGATGATTAGCATGTCATTTCAATGGAAATATTTCTCAGGAATTTTCTGTATTAGGAAAGGACCATTGGTTATTAAAATATGAAGACACAGTGACAAGTATATTTATCTTGTAACTTGCTGTAAGTTTTCAGCCGCTGTAATTTTTGCATAATACTTTGTAGTAAACATTGTATGGTCTAAAGCTGTGAAAAGAAACAAGTATGTAGAGTATATAACATAAAATATGACTTTTCCCTACAGCCTCAAATCCCTATAACCTAAGAATATTAAAGATTTTCAAAGGCACCAAGTCCTTGAACATAGCAGATTTTATGTGTCAGCTCCAAGAAAACATTATTTGGTAATACAAATTTTCTATCTGTTTTTACTGTAGTAGATATATTTGGGAGTCATTACATAAAAATATTGAATAATTTGAAAACTTCCCTTTTATTTTGTATTCAGTATGGAGAGCTATTCCCAGAGCAGGGCTTTTCTGATGCAAAATTGCAATGCTCGTGTAGTCACAACAGCTGTTCCCACACCATGTGGTGTCTTCCATTACTTCACTATAGAGATGAATTTTTGGCCCAGTGTTTCAGTAATATTGGACACACATGGTTTTAAGTGGCAAAGCAGTATGCTTATGCATTCATTTGACTTTCACAGCTACAGTTGGCTTCAGATTAGAACAGGGAGAATACATTCACACCATGGCCACCCTCATGGCTGCTGTAGTAGCTGAATCACAGTAGGCTCTGTTGGTTCTAAAGACCCAACTAACTAACTATTGCTGAGGAATTACACATTCACCAAAGTGCCTTACAGATGCAGAGCAGGGAATAATGTATTGTTAAAAGGCTTCAGATTTCAGATTATGGTCCTAGCTATTATTAAAGTATTAATAATAAAAAATTATGGCCATGAAATAACTGAAACTAATAGAAAATTTGTCCAAGTAGGTATTTTTCAGAAAAATCAGTCCAAATATTTATTTAAAGTTTTCTCTTCTGAGAACATAAGTGGTATTTTACTTTTTGACTCTCATTAACAAGGAATTAAAATTATATTGTTCCCTAACTCTCATTGTTGTATAGCATATTTGGAAAGCTAATCTATTAAAAATAGAAATTTCTTTTAACTGATTTTCTATGTGAAGCAGTGATTTATGTTTTCAACATTTTAGACAATTGTGTTTGCTCCAGAGAGTGTTTGTTAAAACTACTGCAGAAATTAGATAATTTCATTTAGTGAGAAACTGCATTAATACATCATATGGTTTTAATACTGTCTCAGTGTATATCTTCGTGCACTTTCAACCTAATGTCCTTCATGGTAGGATTTAGTACTTATAAGCTTATACTTAAATTCTACTTAAAACTTAACTCTTTGGCATCTTTGAAACTGATTTGTAGGCTTATTAAAACTTTGGCTTTTAGCAATAAAAATATCATTTTCTTGAAAATCCAATTATGTTCCTAAATGGTATCTGAATTAAAATAATACCTTTTCCTTAAATAAGACAAAAAAGGGGGGAAGAAAGAAAAACTGTGTAAATTTTTAAATCATCTGATATGGAGACTTTGATTTCTGATATTCATTAAATATCAAAGAAATTCTGCCCAGACCCTAAATTCACTTTTTATGTAAGTGAATTTATGCATGTATTGTAGGGGCTGTACTGATGAATATGTTTGAGGCTTTCAGCTCTTAGTGGATACAAAATAGAATGATTGATAAAATCCTCCCTACTATTGGCTATTATTTACTGACTCTTAAGTGGCAGGTTGTATTTATGCCAATTTATCTGCTTCAGGGAACATTCTTGATAGCAGAACAAAGTGAATAAAAGTAGTTTGCTTTGCAAATGAATGCAAATGGAAGAGCCTTTCGGAAAGCCCTTTAACAGGGGCAGTGCACTTTGATTATGAGTGAAGCTGCCATTTGGACATGGTGAAAAGAGCACGCTTGAACCATTGATTGGGGGAGACAGTAAAAAGTCAGTAAGGGCCCCTAAGCTTGCAGTGAAGCAGGCGGATGTCAGTGTGGTTAGAGCACAGTGGGAGAATGACAGGGAGGATTAGTGTCAGGGAGAAGCTTTGCTGTAGCTGTGGAGATAGTCCCTGGGGTCACTCACCTCTGACTGTTGTTCTGTGCTGATGGTTCTGTAATGCAAACTGCCTGATGTATGCCTGTTCATTATCAGAAATGGTGATTAGAAAAGGTATTTATTTCAAAGATTTCTTTCCACTCCACTTCCCTCCCTTTTTTTCCTTTCCTTCCCTCTTTTCCTTCTCTTCCTTTTCCTTTTCTTCCTTTTCCTTTTCTTCCTTTTCCTTCCCTCCTTACCTCCTCCTTTTCTTCCTTCCTTCTTTCCTTTCTAACTTCTTTTCTTCCATTCCCCTTATCCCTTTTCCCCTCTCTTTTCCCCTTTCCCTTCTCCCCTTTCTTATTCTTTCTTACTTTCTATGTCTTTCTTTCTAGTCAAAGGAAAGTAAGTTCAGCTTGCTCAGTCTCTGCTGACTTTTTGAGCATTGTTTAATATGAATATAATTACTGCTTCTGGTGGAGATAACTTAGTGCTAAAATGTAGTATGAAAATAATTGGCACATATTGTTTTCTTGTTCATTATTTTTCTTTGCTTATTAGTTTTGTGTTTTATCACTGGTAATGCTGCAGTAAACTACAGAAAACATGGATGCTGTTAGAATTTTTGTTTGTAGTTTTTAAGGTGTTTTACTTAGTAATAATTTTGTCAACTTTTAGAAAAATTTCTGAAAAATGAAATACTGTTTTTCATGCACTGAATGATTTAGGTCTGATCACAACAGTTTGTAGTTGTTCCTCAGTTTTATAAAATGCTATCATTTGATAACTTAAACTTATTTTTAAAATTAACTACTGTTACATAGAATGAACAAGACATCTTTCAGTTCTGATTCTGAACCAGTATGTTTACTTAAATCATGTTTATACATGTTCATATGATTTTTTTTATTCTTGTTCTCCTCTCCCCCACCCTGCCTCCCCCCTTCCTCTCCCTCCTCTCCTCTCTCTCCTCTCCTGTCTTTTTCTCTCCTCCGTGTGTGTGTGTGTGTGTGTGTGTGTGTGTGCGCGCACACACACACACACACACACACACAAGCCCTAGAGCTTGGATTCAGGGCCTGGGCACTTGTCCCTGAGCTTTTGTGCTCAATGCTACCGCTCTACCACTTAAACCACAGCTCCACCTCTGGAATATTGGTGTTTAATTGGAGATAAGAATCTCATGGACTTTCCCTTTCCAGCCTATCTTCAAACCACCATCTCAGCCTCCTGAGTAGCTAGTATTATAGGTGTGAGCCACTGGCTTCTCGCTCTTGATCTCTCTTAAGGGGTCTATATAAATGGGTGTGTGTGTGTGTGTGTGTGTGTTTAACTTTATTACCTGGGCACTGATGGCTTACACCTGTAATCCTAGCTACTTAGGAGGCTGAGATCTGAGAATCAATATTCATAGCCACCCCACGCAAGGAAATCTGAGACTCTACCTCCAATTAACCACCAGAAAGCATGGAAGTGGAGCTGTGTCTCAAATGGCAGATTGCTGGCCTTGAGCAAAAAGCTCAGGTACAGTGCCCACCCTTGAGTTCAAGCCCCAGGATCAACACAAAAAACAAACCAAAACCCTGTCAATTTCAATAGTCATAAAAAGGCATTTGTGAGCAGCACTGCATTTAGTAGCAAGAATTCATAGGTTTTGATATAATGATTTCTCAGTTCGATGTAAAATGATTTTTTTCTGAAAATATTTTTATTTGGTACACACAAAATTAAGGCTGCTAGAGCTTTACCTTCTGATCCTAAATATGTAAATCAGGCCTTTATTCAGACTTTGATACATTTTAGTTAGATACATTTGGGTTTTGCAGAAAGCATGTTGCCAATTGTTTCACAGGCTTGTTAAATGTTTTACCAATCATTCTGTCAATTGTCTTTATTTTCTTTAATGTTTTACAGGCACCTGAATGGACAGAAGAGGACCTCAGCCAGCTGACAAGAAGTATGGTTAAGTTCCCAGGAGGGACCCCAGGTCGCTGGGAAAAGATTGCCCACGAATTGGGTCGATCTGTGACAGATGTGAGTTCACTGAGATTTGCTTTGTATAGAGAATGACAAACCAGAACAAGCCAACTATGTAGGAGGTAGACATGGATGGGTCCTGCATTATCTTTGGAGAAAGACTGCAATTCTTTGAGAACCTAGAAGTGAACCATTAATGAAATAAACAAGAAGCAGATGTGAATCAGTCCCCTCTTTCACAATTAACAGCTGTGCGAGAAATTGTACTGTTTGGAGACTAATGCTACTGAAACCTAGTCACAGAAAAACAATGCCAAGTTTTATGTTTATAGTGACCCTTTAATTGTGGAAAAGACAGTTTTCAAACTGATCAGAAATTAGAGATGTTGTATTTCAGCTGGATCTTTTTAGCATTGAAGTACAAATTGCCAGTATATTTAGACAGGTGCTTTGGATTAATTAAATGAGCACTATTCCTATACTGCAAATGTTTGCCTTTTTATTTCAAGGATGATACAAACCATTCATTCTGACAAGTTTGCATATGTGTGTGTGTTTTCTTATATACAGAAACCACTTATACAGGTACAGCCATATGATCATTCATATGTATTATATATGTGTGAATGGTCATGCTTAACATTTAGAAAATCAAATATTTACCAGGAAAACTTTTGACTTAACACTTTGAATGTTTCATCCAGGAAATTTACATCTGATAACATTTTTCAAAGCACCTACGTAGTACCAAACGTATTCTAAGCACTCAGTAAATGTTTGATTGAAATTGAAACAACCTTACTTGCATCATTTTTCTAATTGTGTATCTGTCTGTCTGTCTGTCTGTCTCTCTCTCTCTCTCTCTCTCTCTCTGTCTCTGTCTCTCTCTGTCCCTGTCCTGGAGCTTGAGCTCCCTGAGCTTTTTTTGTGTGTGTGTGTGGCCTGGTCCTGGGATTTGAATTCAGGGCTTAGGCACTCTCTTTGAGTCACTTGAGCCACAGTGTCACTTCTAGTTTTTCTGAGTCATTCATTGGAGATGAGAGTCTCACCCACTTTCCTGCCTGAGCTGGCTTTGAACCACGATGTGAGTGAGGATCACAGCCTTCTGAGTAGCTAGGATTGTAGCCATCAGCCACTGGCACTCAGCTCTCCCTAAGCTTTTTGCTCAAGACTAGTACCCTACCACTTGGACCACATCTCCATTTCTGGCTTTTTGGTGGTTAGTTGAAGATAAGAGACTTGGACATTGCTACATTGGCTGATTTCAAACTGAGAGTCTCAGATTCAGCCTCCTGAGTAGCTAGGCTTTACAGGCATTAGCTACTAGGTACCCAACTGTTACGTTCTTAAAGGATAGTAACTATTCTTTGCTAAATTTACCACAAATATATCCTATAGTTCAAAAATTCTTAAGGGCTCTGAAAGATTTAAATTACTCCTTCTTGCATTTCGTTCTGTTATTATGCCTTTTAGCTCTGTTTGGAAAGTGAACACAATATTTTTTTAAAGACCTGCCAAATGAATACTAAACACAGCTACCCAAACAACAGTAACAAAAAAAAAAAAAAACTTCTTCTAAGTGTAATTTACTTTCTGTAGTAAATCTTAATGCTTCTGAATGTAGAAACAAACACAAAAATACACTGTCAAGCTTCCTTTTCCTTTTGGCTAGGAACTACTTTGAAAATATTTAATAACATGTATGAATATTGTTACTATATAAGTCTTTTTTTTTTATCACGTTTAGGGCTGGAGATATGGCCCAATCAAGCCCAAGGCCCTAAGTCCAAATTACAGTCTGCTTCCAAAAAAGATTACATTAAATACTACCAGCTAGGAGCTGGTGGCTCATTTCTGTAATCCTAGCTACTCTGGATGCTGAAATCTGAGGATCCAAGCCAACCTGGGCAGAAATATTGGCAAGGGAACTGTGGCTCAGGTGGTACAATGCCAGCCTTGAGTGAAAAAGCTGAGGGACAGCACTTAAGTCCTGAGTTTAAGCCCCAGTACTGGCATATATATACACAAAGAAAGACTATTATTTGGCACTGGGATGTAGCTCAAAGATAGACTGCTTGTTTAGAATGTGCCTGGATCTAGGTTCAGTCTTTAGCACCAAAATAATAAAGGGGGCGGGGAAACCACAAGATTTTTACTTAAGTTTCTATGAGCTGTTTTGCATCATAGTCACTTCAAAGTTAAAGTATAGTTCCAGAGGATACAGCATTTCTATCTGGTCACAAAATTTCTTTGCTATTCTTGAGGAATCTAGTTACCTTGAGCAACTGGAGAACCACAGGGACACCTTCTGCTAAGAGTGTTGCTAAAATGTGCATTTTATTTTCTTACTTTAGGTTGCTTGTAAAAGTTAATAGTGACTTATCAGTAATATCAGACCACAGGCAAGATATTCCATGGTTATGGCATTTTAAGTATAATGGCTCTTAACTATACAGCTGCTAATAATATGATTAATTAACTAAAAATAAATCAACAGCTTATAAAACATTGGTATAAAAGGGCTTAGAATGTTTCTCCAATTGCACAGATAGAGAATATAGTACTCATTTAGTGTCTCCTTTGAAGTTAAAAACTACTTTTAGCTTTTATAGTCCTTTGAGGCGCTGTGGTTAATGCTAAGAGCAAACTGCGTAGAAATTGTACCTGATTTTTCATTAAAGTTTGATTACATTTTTTTTTATTTTCCAAGCGGAGATGAATGTTTGAGAAAATACTGAGAATACACATGCTAGAACTACCATAGCCTCTTAGATCTAGATATCTATACTTAAAAGAGTAGTCTTGGTGCAGAGGTAAATCTTTTCACTTTAAAGAATTAATTCATGTGAAATTAGCCTCCACCGGCCTCCCTGAGGGAGGTAACAATCATGACATTTTGAGTGAGAGACTGTGTGGTTTATTATACTTGTTCTGCTTTCATGTAAGAGTGCCTTGGAAATAGTTAAGAGACCTAAAGTTTTATAGCATCAAAAAAATCTTTGTGGGCTGGGAAGGTGGCTCAGTGGTAGAGTGCTTGCCTTGCATGCCTGAGGCCCTGGGTTCAATTCCTCAGCACCACATAAGCAAAAAGAAAAAAGCCGGAAGTGGCACTGTGGCTCAAGTGGTAGAGCGCTAGCCTTGAGCTGAAGAGCTGAGGGACAGCGCCCAGGCCCAGAGTTCAGGTCCACCACCGGACCCAAAAAAAAAATCTTTGTAACTTTTTTCTATGTTATTGTATATCATAATGCATTTGACACTATGCCATGTCGGGGGTGGGGGGGATAGTGGAAGAGAGAGGGAGGAGAGCCACTCTCTCTTTTTGTTGTTGTTGTTGTCAGTCAGGGAGCTTGAGCTCTGGGCCTGGATGCTGTCCCTGAGCTCTTTAGCTCAAGGCTAGCACTCTACCACTGAGCCACAACACCAGTTCTGGTTTTCTGGTGGTTTATTGGAGATAAACTTTCCTGCCTGGACTGGCTTTGAACTCAGCCTCCTGAGTAGTTAGGATGACAGGTGTGAGCCACCAGCATCCAGCTTAGAGAGAGCCACTCTCTTTTAAAGAGAACTGGTATCTGAATACTCAGCTAACTCGTTTTAATAACACACAGGAATATGACTTGTGAGTCATGTGAAGCAGCTGAAATAGCTGTTTCTTTACTAGAACATTTCTTCGCTAGCAGTTTCTTTATTAGAATGCTAAGTGAAAGTTTATCACACTTTAAAAACTCACTTTTTCATCTTTTTGACTTACGGTGTTAATTAGATTTGTTTTCATTAAGTATTTGACTATGAAAAAAATGGAAAGGAAAGAGAAGCCAGGTTCACTTGGCTGGCATCATATTTCCCTCCACTTCTGCAAACTGACCAGTTTGTCCCAGCTCTGCACAGCTGTTCTTTGACCTGGCTTCCCTGCTAAATTTGTAGCTTCAGGCTTGCTTCTCTTTCCTTGCAGAAACAATTGACCTTTTAGGGGGAGAGGTGAAAATGAGGCAGTGGTGGGATCTATATGGTTCTTCAGGTTGACAGAATAGTGAAAAATATGTACTATTTCTCAATTAGGAAAGGAATTAAGTATATTCCTTATTATAATTAGCCGAGTTTTATTGCTAATTTCTATTTGGGGTAAATTCAAGCAATGTTATATTTAAATTTTTTTCAGTATAAATTGTATTTTAACTCAATCTACCTATACTTATGACCTACTATGGGTTAAATATTTTAAATATTAATACATACCTTTTGGCAAATAATTTTAGGAACCACAAAGGACACTCTGATTGTAACAACAGAGGAAACAAAAACTATCTGGCATGTAAAACCAACTTGAATATGATTATTAACTGCAGATTTCTAAATTAAGGTCAGGGATCCTCAGATTTCTTGCTTGTGAAGTAATACTATTCTCTTGCCTGAAAGGATGTAAACTGATTCTGCTGCTCTCCATGGTCACTAATCTCCTGCATTCTGGTTGTGATAACAGACTGATTGGAGATTTTCTGCTTGTTTAGAAAAGGCCCAAGTAAGGCAGCAAGACAAAAGACAGGTGGCTAGATTTAAACAGACTTTTATAATTACTAGTGCCCTTGTGTGAGGTAAGAGATATGTTAGTTAGATAAGCAGCCCGCTATGCCAGTGAGGAGAGAAGGGAAGATCATAAAATTGATAGTTTTATTTTAGATAGCCACAGTGAGCATGGAAATAGTGAGCACAGGGGACATATATATTATTATCATGGTTGTTTCAAAATTAGAAGTGGATTATTCAGTCAAAAAGAAGCTTTGTAATTTTGCCATGAACTGAAAATACTTTCTATTTTGGCTAATATAGTCTGTTACTCTTAGAATCGGACTAGCCTTACCCAAAATTGCGAAAAGAACAAGAATGTCCTTTTGGTTTTTCATCTTCACCCTTGCTAAACACTTAACCAGCTTTCTGTGGTCATACTTGTCTTGAGTTCGAGCCTGATTTCCATTCTTCTCCCTTCCTTACCTTCAAAGAAAAGGAACAAAATGCTTTGTTCTTGCTAGATGAGTCCCTACCTACTGTGATATAAAACTTAC